AACACTCAGCATCGAAATGTACTTTGTGGTCTCTGATAAACTTTATCTCAGTCTAATCCTTCTGTCTTATCCGAGGTGCCTGCAGACATGTAGCATGTATATGTTTTGTGGGGTGGGGTTGGGAGGGGGGGGTGGAGGTTGAGGTTCAGCGGACAAACATTCAGTCTGTGAGACACTGCAGAGAGACGTGATTTAGACTGAGACCCGAGGCAGGAACCAGCTCTGTGAGTGAGCTGTCCTGCCCCCGGGTCTGATTTAAACAGTGAATGATTGGACGTTCAACACTGATCCTCGGTCTGTATTGTGGTCTCATTCTGAGGTGGGAAAATAAAACTATGTTTGTCACAGTTTATAGAAAGAGTAGTAGGTGGAGGAGGGGAGGGAGGTATGAAATGTACATTGTTTTTTTGTACCTTGGCTTTAATTTATTAAATATATCTAAGACTGCATCTCCCGACTCTTCTGTGTGTTGGAGTAGTTTTGTTCTTTTAACACTTCCATCACATTGTCACGACAATTAACACAAGCATCATTGTAGATAAAAGTAGAAACATGTAAGAAAAATATGTCATTGAGGCATAAATAGCCAGTTTTTCTGAGGAACATTTGTAAATCTGGAGCCAATCTTTAAAACTTTTCATTTCTTCATTTCATGTATTAGCTATTTGTTGGCTGTTCAGTTTGATTTTTTGTACAGTTTATGAAATGGACCAAATATGAAATGTTTTTTCAAGGAAACCTCCTTGGAAATGATTAGCAAATTATTTATAAAATAAAGCAGAACCATTCACCATCATGAAGTGTAAATGCTGTTGGAAAGCTCTCTCCATCCTGCCAGGAATTCTTGTGGCCTAAAAGCCAAATGTAAATACTGTATCTTGACTCTATAACCAACCTATAAAATACCCATCATATGTGAGTGTAGGTTGAAATAACCCCCAAATTATCAGACAAATACTCAGGATATGACCTCACTGTCACTATAGCCCAGAGTATCACTGTATGATGGCCATTTTTCCACTACAAGAGTGAATCTTTCTAAACTTAGAGGCAAGAGTCATAAGACCATGACCTGAGTGAAGATTCAATGAAAAAGAGTAGCAGTTGCGCATGCGCACAGACTTCACACGTGTGTGGAGGTCCATCCATCCCGTCCTGACAGTCTGCAGACCACCTCACCAACCAGACCACCCTCAGGACATTTACAAGCAGCTGAAGTTTCTCCAGGACTTCAGAGTCGAGCAGCATCTCATCGTTTCATCGTGAACAGACCGAACCGCTGCAGCTGCTGCACGTAAGTTAGGCTAACTACTAACTAGCCTCCTGCTAACTCTGGTTCCGTTGAGCCATTTAGCTTCCACAGTAGCTAGAAGAAACAAAACATGGGAAACAACCACAACTTGTTGTCAACAAATAGCAAACCCCGAGCAATATTTCACTGTTGTGCCACCTGGTATCACTTAAAGGACACACGAAGAAGTTTCCTCTGTATCCTCCATGTTGTTACAGTAGACAGTTAGATACAATCAGTTGCATCACTATCTCTCTGTGTGTGTGTGTGTGTGTGTGTTAAAGTCCTCTAACTGGACTAACGGAAAGCTCCTGACCATGCAGTGTGTGACCTGCAACATGCACATAATCAATGAGCTAATTGTCAGGACGCTGTGTGT